ATAATTCTATCAATTTTTTTATGAATATTTGTAAAATTATTGGTTTTAGAGAAAAATACCTAGACTTTTTTGTAAAATTCCATGCTCTTGACAAATGTCAGTTACCATTTTTTCCTTTTTGAAGATATTTGTCCGAAAATTGAGTCGTAATTTTGTTTTAAAACTCAAACAACTCAATAGCCTTCAAAATATCAATTTAAAAAAAAAATTAGAATCTTCTTTTGAAAAGCATAAAATCCTCTAAGAAAAAAGCTCTCTCGACATTTTTCATCACTTTTTCCTGTCAACAATTTGCAAAATAACAAATCCATAATTTGGCATTGGAAGAGCAGAAATTCAAAAGCTTTGGAATACCTCGCGAGTATTTCTTGAACTATTGGCTTTAGGAAAAAATGTCAGAAGTGTCGAGAGACAAATTTTCATGCTGAGATGTCTCCTGACATCTTTTTCAAAATCATTCCTGCAGACGATAGATGCAAAATAAACTCTGATATCATGTTTACTCCATTCATTTCCATCAATTCACTACTGACGTAATAATCAAACGTTCATACAGCATCCAGTAAACGAAATATCAATAACACGTGATTCTCCGACGATGACATGTGATGATAATTATTCCCTATTTGTCTCTCGTGTAAAATACGAAAAAATTTGCCTAAGAAGAAAACAGTAAATACTAATAAAAAGTTTTTGCACATATTACAACAGCAGTCGAGTGACGAAAAATTTGTCAATTTGATCATTCAATATTCCTCATCAAGATATAAATATAAAATCTCTTAAAGTTAATTTTGTTTATACAAAACATTATCATTTTCACCAACGATTGATCGAATTAACCAGAAAAATTGTGAAGTATCAGTCATCGACAAATAATTACTACAGGACTATTTACAGATGCAGCTCATCAGCTTTCGGAGAGTTAAATAACCGAGAGAAAAAAAACACGAATAATGAATGATTGTATTCATCTCAATATCAACATCCTTCAGAATTAATAATGAAGAAAAAACAATTGTGAGAACACAAGTGATGGTACCGTAATCCTATGTATTGCGTTGTCGAGACTACCTATGAGGCTAATTAAATTGTGCGGTATTTGAATCACCACTTTCTAGGTCTCTCTCCTGTGAGTGGTTATCTGCGTGAAGTGATGAAACGCGAAAATTCAATTATTCACATTTTGCTGTATTGAATGTGAAATTATCTCGAGGATGTGTGTTTCTTAGGTAAAATCTCCAAGAGAAATTTTTGTTGTAGACTATTTTTAAGCTACAAAAGAGTCTTGCGATTACAATTCTTCACTGACAGAAAAATGAACGAATTCTAAAACAAGTCTTGTTTGGACTAAGAAAACCGCTAGTTGAAAATTACCAAAAAAGAAATTGTTTGATTCGAATTTGTAAGTCTCAAAGATGAATAATTGCTCTGCTTTTGGTAACAACGAAATATTTGGCTCAAGCGGCGGATAATTCTTAGGAGACGGTGCCTTTTCAGGATAAAATATCGCATTGAGGAAAATTTGTCAAGAAATATTTTGGCCCATATCATTATTGTTATTTCATTTAAGGATTCATTTCTTATCTGCGATTATTGAATAGCCGAAATAAAAAACTACTGTCCTTTGTTTTGCATAAAACGAACATTTTCCGGGAGCAAAATACGTATTGGAGTATCGAATAATGAAAACGTAGTGCTAGAAATGACATTTCTAGTTTTCACAGAAAATACTTTTTGTTTGGAACTACTAAATCCATGTTTACGGACTCTTTGGATGTTTGAGACAAAAAAATCCGTTATTGATAATTTTTTTAAAACTATTTTCTTGGTACAAGTAAGACGTGTTTGAGAACTCTATCGTTTTTCTCTCAGTGTTGAATCATCTCTAAGAAAGCTCTGTCAACATTATCTCCTGAAAGCTACTGAGATAATTGAAAAATCACTGAAGATTCTCACCTTGATCTCAATTATTTTGTTCTTTTACTAGTAAATATCAAGAGGAGATTGAATGATCTTCCTTTAATTGAGAAAATTCTCTATGAACAATTCAATGTTTCAAATTTCGTTCTTCAAAATTTGTTCTATTGAATGTGGAATTATGTCGAGGATGAGTGGTTCTTAGGAAAAATGGCAAGAAGAATTTTGTTATAGACTAATGTTTTGGAAAGAAAAAGGGCTTGTGATGTTTTCTTATAAGATCATTCGTTATTGCGATAACTGACAAATTAATGAAGGCTTCATTTTTAACTCGAATTATTTTTGAGTTTTTCAACTTTTTGAATCATCTCCATGAAAGGTCTGTATCAGGCAGGGGAATATAGAATTATGGTGGTGATGAATGGTTCTTAGGAAAATGGCAAGAAGAATTTTAGTTATAGACTATTTTTTTAGAAACTAAAAGGACTTCTGATGTTTGCTTGTAAGACCTTTCATTGTTCAGATAATCGAAAAATTAACGAAAGCTTTATTTTTAACTTGAATCATTTGAGTTTTTCAACCTGTTGAATTAGCCCCAAGAAATATCTGTTTCTCCTGAAACCATTGGCTGCTGAAAAAATCAATAAATATCCTTTCCTCCACCTCAGTTATTTTGACATTAATTAATTGTCAAGTTCTCTCGCCAATGAATACTTTGAAACGAAATTAAAAAAATCTTTCATTAGTTCAGAAATCCCTAATGAAAGAGATTCCTCGACATTAATCGTACAGGTATTTCGTATTGAAATGAATGCATAATCAACAAAAAGAGAAAAAACTCAATAATTCCACCACTTCACTCCAGATTCCGTAATTATTTACATGTGGGAAACAAAAAAAGGAACTTTGGTGCAAAAAGCAAATTCACCTCGGCCCCCGAATAAACCCAAAAACTACCTCCAAAACCTCAAATAAATAAAAATTGGCCCTGTTTGAGGAATGACAAGTTTACAGTTCAAACTTTCGCGAAAAATAAATTCATTCTCTGTCACCAGAAGTCGTAAAAATAAAAATTAGATGAGAAAAAAAAATGTAATAAATCTACTTAAACTAATCGATGGATGGTTCAGCTTTAGCAAATAGACCCACGCACTCTCGTATACTTAAATTTTGCATATTTGCTTCGAGTAATGTTAAAGCATAAAAATAACCACTTCAACCTCGGATCAGGAATTTATCCAGAATCCCTTATTCAAGTATTAATTCAAAGAGATTACTTCGATATTATTTTTTCAAACGCCTTTGACGATTCCAGTGAGTACTTTCACATAGTACTATGCAACGTGTGTTTTATTCTCACAGAGTGACGAATTACCCTGAGAATAATTATTTTGTACAGTGTCTTATTGCCCAATGGGAATTATTTAAATCTATAATCCTGTAGTGAAGTGCTCAAGTCCGGGAGAGTAAGTCCAAAGGTACATATTTTAACACCGATACATTTCCTAAACAAAATGACGTATTTTACACAATGAAGTCTTCATTTTCGGACACATTAGATATTCTCTATTAAAATCCCATCTACAAAAATTGTAATCGTCCCATTCTATTCTGTATTCTGTACTTTGATCAATATTCTCGTGAAATTTCAATTGAAAAATCTGAACATTTTTAGCAATAACTAATTCCCATAAAATTTCCGTTCATGTTGCTGCTGACAAATCAATTGATTTCTGGAATATTCAATGAAATTGCAATTTTCAGGTCCACGTGAGAATGAAAATTGTGACATTTTAGGGAACTATTCTTTTGAATTTTCAATCTGTCGAAAATGCAATCAAATGTGATGTGATAATCAATTTTGCACGACGAGTTTGAGAATTCAAGATCCCATTCAAATATCAATCATCACTTAATACAAAAAATACAATTTTGTTGAATTTTCTATTGATCTCAAATTGACTTTCAATGCACAACATTCAAAATGCATTACATCCAAACTGCTGCATTTCAAATGCAGCTGTTACTGAAATGTCAAAAAATTTCTAATAATTCATCAAATTGAAATGTATTGCCTCAACTGCATATTCTGCAATCTGAACTCCCCATTGTATAATTTAAAAACTTCTAAATGTTATATGCAATTAGACAGGTATATTTTCAATATGTGGAGTAAGTCGCAACAAATTCGACATTCATAAGTTTGAAGTGTACAATGTGGAATAATCCAGACTGCACAATATGCAATTGGGATGGTACATCATGTAACCAAAATGCAGTGATTGTAATTTTTGCAAAGCAAATTCTTGCTGCCAACATCACATGCCTAAAGCAATGAAGTTGATCCCTTGTGTAAGAGTATGCCTCCAAAATTCAATGAATACTTGAGGTCTACAAGAAGGGTCATTCGATATTTTCCCAGAAATCTCTACCATTCGAAGATATTCCCAAAATAATGAGCACTTGCTTTTGGAACGTCGAAATTACATACATGATTAAGTGTGTCCCCGTTAATTCTAACTGTTGTATGAAGAATAAAACTCCTTAGCATTTTCCCAATTGTATGAATCGACACAAATTGAATTTTTCAGGAAATGTACGACTGCTCCACAAAATCAGCGAATTCAGTAGCGAAGTGGTAAAAGGGTACAAGTCAATTTTGACTATTGACCAGTTTTCAATGAATATCTCGGAATCTAAGGGAGATAGCAAAACTGTTATTATAACCTTTTTTGTAGAGGCGATTGAGAGCTACAACAAATGTAATTACAAAAATTTCGCTATTTCCCTTAAATTCAGAAATATTCCGCAAAAACTCTGGGAGCTGGGAGATGATTCAACTTAAGCCGTTTCACCACTTCGCTACTGAATAGTCTCGAATTTTCTGGAAAATCGTAGAATTTTCGGGAATTTTCACAGAATTCTCTAGCCATTAGGGAACACCATGAATGACCCCCAACATGAAGTTATCGACGACTGAAAGACGAATGAAATGAAATGAAAAATACCAAACGGATTCAATCCTCCTGGACTTACTCCCCGTTCTCCGCCCCTCCCCACTACCCAATGAATACCCCTCATCACCGATCCAAGGGGACATCCTCCATAATCGGAATATTCCCAAAATGTTGGAACCCATTTTTAAAAATCCTCCCCCTACTCGTCCCCGCCTTAGTCTGATCCAGCAACGTAACATTGTCCTCAAACTCCCTGACCCACCTTGCAGTCTCGCTCCCCCAGTGAAACCTGATCTGCGCAGCATGATGATAAACCTTCTTAAGTCCAGCATTCCTCAGCTCAATTCCCTCCTCCGAATGATAGAAACTCTTCTCGCAGAAGTCCTGCCCAACGAATGGCTCGAGCTCAGCGACAATCTCCATAAAAGTGGGTCTCTCACTGGGCCTCCACTTGAAGCACTTCTCCATGAGCTTCAGCACAATCTCCGGAACATTCCTCGGTATGTTAACAGTCCCCTTCCTCAGCACATGATGCAGCACCTCATCATTAGAGAAGCCTTGATAAGGCAGCTCTCCCAGCGTCAAAATCTCCCAGAGGACCACCCCAAAGGACCAAACATCCGAGTCAGACGTGAAGACCCCATCAGAAAGATTCTCAGGTGCCATCCAACGAATGGGTAGCAGCCCCTTCTGCCCAATCTTATAGTAATCAGTCTCATAAATGTCCCTGGCCATTCCAAAATCCCCAATCTTGCACACAATATCCTTGGACACCATGCAATTTCTCGCTGCCAGATCGCGATGAATAAACTTCTTCGACTCCAAATAGGCCATTCCATCGGCAATTTCACTGGCCATCCTGATGATCCTGGGTACATCAGGCACCAGTGCTGTATCCCTGATCCTCCTCAGGTACGTCTTCAAGTCGCCATTCTCCATCAATTCCATGATGACATACGGAGGAACACCATCAGAAACAACCCCCAGCAGCTTGATAATGTGATAAGTCGAGAAGTTCTTCATGACAGAGGCCTCATTAAGAAACTCGTTCTTGTCCTTTTCACTGCAATTATCCGGAATAGTCTTGACAGCGACTGGAGTCACACCATTCAAAATTCCCCTGTACACCATTCCAAAGTTCCCAAGGCCGAGTTCCTCGAGGAGCTCCAGGTTCTCCCGAGGTACCTCCCAGCTGTCCCTCACGTACTTCGACTCGATGTAGTCTGGATTGACACTGGCAATCAGCCTCTCCTGCTGCTTTCTCTTCTGACTGCTTCTGAATAACAAGAGGCCCACGACGAAGACCACCAGGAGGGTGACGATGATGACAACGACGACGACTGTCGTGGTATGATCCTCCTTCAATCCAATACCAAACTCTACTTCCCTCGACCATGGCCCATCCCCACTCAAGGACCTCGATCTAACCCTCGCACTGTACCTCCCAGGGCTCAAATTGCTTATCACCTTTTCCCCTCGGAATAGGGACGCTGGGATGCAGGTGGAGGTCTTCGTAGCGTCTTTCACATCGAGGGGACCGTAGTCCACGTAATAAGCGACTGTCAGACCATTCGGAGACCTCGGAGCGTCCCACGAGATCGTGACAATGGTATCGTTCAACACATGAACTCGAACGTTCTGCACATCGTCAGCGTGCTCACGCTTCAAAGTCGTTGCATTTGTGTATTCCACAGTGGAACACAAGTCTGTGCCGTTGCTGAGCCTCAGACCACATGCTGCCACCGATATCGTGTACGACGAGAAGTGACGGAGGCTCGTCACCAAATACGAACTGCTGTTTGCACTTGCGTTGAAGACGAACGAGTAATACGTGTTGTTGTAGATTCTCGTTCTCCTGTCGTCCAGCAGATCCTTCCCAGCCTCGATGATCTTTATGTCTCGCCTCGACAGCGAGGACGATGGATAATATAAACTTGAGAAGTAAGGATCGTCGTCGTCGTACTTGTGGAAGGTGCAGTACTTCTTGCGCTCCTGGGGAATTGAACTGATGGTTGTGTTCGCTGAGCAGTAGATCTGAAAGCTTTCGTCTTTGGGGAGAATCTCCGTCATGCAGCAGTCGGTGTTGGGGATCACGGGGGCCTTGATCTTGACTTCGCGGATTGTCTCGAGGCCTTGGCCAGGCTCAAGACCGTAGGTGCAGTAGTTGCGGGTGGAGAGTTGCTCAGAGTCGTGGAAACGGAGGTAACCGGATATTATGTAGTAGGCGATGGGTCCGTTTGGCTGCTCTGGGGGCTCCCATGTTATGTTCAGGCTGCTTTCGCTGTCGGGGTAGGAGAGGACCTCGGTCGGGGGTGAGGGCACGTCAGGGTCTGTTCGGAAAAAGAGAATTTGGGACTGACCGGTCAAGCCGTTTGCCGTGTTTCTGCTTCGGGCTGAGAGGGTCTTCACGTAAACTGCGTAGCGGGTGTAGGGCTTCAGGTCGCTGACGTACTGGGTGATGATACCTCGAGTTGGACTTTTGTCCGGTATGTCGACGTCCATTATGTGCCATTTGTTGTGGCCACAGGCGTTGTTCTCGTGGGTTACGTTGACTGTCTCGTTGTTGGCTTCTATGTAGTTCAGGAGGTAGCTCAGCAGGACTTGGTCCTTGCTCGGGGTGTAGACTGTCCACGCGAAGATGGCTGTTGTTGGACCCTTCTCGGTGACTACTAGGTGGATGTTTGTCGTGTCACAGGCTACCTTGTCACCGTTCGACTCCGGCTGGACTTCCATTTCGGTAATATCGGTTATACCAACCTGGGGGAAAGATGTTCGGGAGTTTAGTGGTTTCGTGGGTTTTGGTAATTGCGTGGGTGAAGCAATTTGAGATTGTTTTTGAGAATTAAAACTAGGATCTATCTAGTCGTGAAGCTTGCTTTTTTGTAAGCTGGTAGTTCTTTGCGTTTAATTTTGTAAAGTTTTAAGGGAGAACTATTCGAGGGTTTTTGGTGTTAAGTAGTTCAGAGCCTCCGTGAGGGATTTGCGTATTGAGTAGTGTGCTGGGTTCCATACAAGAGGATGCAATGTAAAAGGTTTCAGGACTTTCTCGAGATTTTTCGAATCTCCCGGAAATTTTTATTTTCTGGGAGATGATAATATGGTGAAGGAATGAATAAGAAAATTCTCGGGCTTTTCTAAGAAATTTGAGAAGATCCTTTTTTTATAAATCTTGGGAAGTGATTGAGTTTTTCCGATTGCAAAAATCTTCGAAATTTGGCATATAGTGAAAAGAATTCCTGGAAATCCTCAGGTTTTATAAAGAAAATTTGAAGAAATTCTCGGATTTTCAAAAGCATACAAAAAATTTTGAAGAATGGTTCAATGGTATTAAAAAATCTTGTCCTCCATTTGAGAAAACTCTGAAGTTTTATAGAAGTTTCGAGAGCATTCTTAGTTCTTTCAGAATATTCGGGAGAATTTTCCGTTTTTCTAGAAACTTCCGGGTTGTACTAGAAAATGTACTAGAGAATGAAGAGAATTCTAGGAAATTCTTAGGTTTTTTTAAAAAATTTGAAAAAATTTCGGAATTTTCGAAAAAAATCAAAAGAATTTTGATGTTCCCTTATTAAACATTGAATGTCATTCAAAAGTCTAGTCCTCCACCTGAGAAAATGTAGGTTTTTTATAGAAATTCCGAGAGAATTCTTAGTTTTTCTAAAAAAAAACTCGAGGGGATTTTTACTCGAAATTTTCTGATTTTACTAGAAAATGAAGAAAATTCTGAGAAATTCTCAGGTTGTCTAAAAAAAATTGAAGAACATCTCGCATTTTCAAGAAAACTCGAAAGAATCCCGGCATACCCTTATTAACCGTTGAATGTTATTGAGAAGTACTCGAATAAATTAGTTTACAGATCGTCCTTTTTCTGTAGGCCACGTAAGGATGGCTAGATAATTCGTTAAAACCCTCTCAGTGAGGTCTCTTAGAATTTTGCTAGAATTTCGCGAGTTCATCAATTTCGAAATATCTTGAAAAAAGTGATGTCAGCCTCAAATTAACTCATCTCGTTTGATCTTCCTCACTTCACAACTGAATCAATCCTGTGGGAAAAAATAATACAGCAAAAATAACTCATCACACACCTTTTTAGCGAAGCTCGTAATGTTGGAATAGCAGAGCTTCGGATTGTAGTGGAAAAACAATCGTCCGTTTAGAATCTGCACGTCCTGCGTGGAGGGGAATAGGCTCGAGAGATTCGGGTTGTCCAGAATGACCAGACTTGAGTTATTGATTTCTAATACTTCACCCCTGATTATTCGGAGTTTCTTGAAGAAGCTCAGAGAAGTAATAGGAAATGAATGGGTCACTTTCAATGATCCCGTTATCTCCTCCACATCCCCAAATGCGTCTTCCAGTTCCTGCATCACTAGGGGATGACTATTGCGCATTTGGAATTCTAGGGAGCCTTTGATCATTGTTGATCCTTTAAGCTTTTGCGCATCGGATATGTGACGGATTATCGCCCCCTGACGTATCTTCTGACAGGAGCCTGCGCAGCGACGACATGTGGGCTGGAATCAAAAGTAAATCGAATAAATAATGAATGAGTTTAATATGACAGATTTTCTGATGTGGCAAGGAAATACCAGTAGATGTTACAGGCTTGTAAAATTACTGGTCATAATATTACACCGAAATATTACGTAGTCAAATCGCTTCATGAACCTTGTGAAAAATGTAATTCTGGCAAACTTAACGACGACATGATTTTTTTGTAGGCGAGAATGGGGTAAAATAAAACAGCCGAAAACCACTATTTAACGCAAGTCAAGCAAAAAAAATATTTTTCTATCAATTTTTGTTTATTGACTTTTTTTTAGTATGGGAGTACTGTTGATAATAATTTTACTGAATGGAAAATTATTACTCTCGCCAGTACTCCTGATAATAAAAAAATGTTGAAAAAAAAAAGTTAATAGGAAAAGTTTTTTTTTGCTTGAATTGCGTCAGTCATTTTTCAATTGTTTCATTTGGCTCCAGTTGAACAAAAATGACCGCCAATCAGTGGCAGCTCAAAAAGTGATTCTCTACTTTTTTAATCTCCACAACCGACTCCCACTATTAAAGAAAAAAATCCTAATGAAGAGAGATAACGGCTAGTTTTTTTTCGATATCTAATTTCATAATCTTTACAATGGGCTCCCACTATCAAAGAAAAATCCTAATTAAGAGGGATAACGGCCTGTTTTTTCTGTATTATTATCTGCCTCCTAATGAACGGAACGCCTCGATTAAAAGGGATCACGGGCCGTAAAACCTGGAAGTTGGACGGCCTCAAAAACATAGAAATAGAAATATAGTCCAGCCAAAACGTCTTCTAGTATGAACTTAGTTTCAGGTAACGAGTGTCTATAGTTTCTATTGTCAAATTGTTGATTTTGAAATGAAAACGAAAACTATTTTTTTCAAAGGGAAAAGGAATTTTGGTCAGACTATAGAAATCATTTTGCCCCGCTGTTTCATTTTGCCCCACTCTCCCCTATCTGTTTGTCCGGCGTTGGATCACATACATTAGTCTGCACTTGGGCTAGCATTCACTACTATTAATTTCTGGCTCGAATTATTATAAAAAAATTTGGATCTGAAGAATGTACACAGATCCATGCATCTAGCTCTAGCTCTAGCTCTAGCTCCAGCTCTTCAGTAATGTATCACGCAATATCGTTAGTTCCTCACTGATATTATGTTCACCTTCGTGTCCGAGTTGAACTTGTATTAACAACTCCGACACACAATATTTCAAATTATTATAAATTATTACAAATTATTAAATACGCCAATTATCGCATTTAACCTTTACACCGAACTGTCGGTCGGCCGGACCGCTATAAAAACTACATTGCAACCTTACGAACGAGTGATGGAAATTAGAAAAAGGCTCACCTCGGAATGTCGGGAGAGAAAAAGAATATATAATTATTGTTCACATACGGTTATGATAAATGGCCAGCTTTTCTGATTTTCGTATCATAAATTTTTCATCGCGACTTGGAGTGGGATAGTTCAGTACTGAGCTCATGAAGAATCATACCGAACATCAAATTTCTTGCGCGCACTATTGCTGAATAATCGGTAGTGCTCTTCTTCCCCTAGTGTTCACCTCCCCCCGAATAGAGAATTTGCATGAATTTTTTTTAAATTTGTTACTCTCAAGTTTCGACGCTAAATGATTAATTCACTAGCGAAGTGGTAAAACGGTACAAATAAATTCTGACTATTGACCAGTTTTCAATGAATATCTCGAAATCTACGGGAGACAGCAAAATTTTTGTTATAACCTTTTTTGTAGAGCCGATTAAGAGCTACAATAAATATAATTACCAAAATTTCGCTAACTCTCTTAGATTCGGAAATATTCCTCAAAAACTCAACTGGGAGATAAGTCGACTTAAACCATTTTACCACTTTGCTACTGAATTTTTTATTTATAAACATGAGAAATATTGCTCGCTAATTAATAATTGATTGCCAAAAGTTGGAGACTTCAAACACTTTGAAATCGCTAATGACGTCGCAAGAATAAAAAAAAATGGTGAATTTTAACTCACGTTGTTGTTTTCAATCGCATCTTCGTAGCCTTGGGGGCAGTCGGTTATGCACGCGCCTTCGAATGGACGTCTCTTCACCTCATCCTCCCCGTTTAATTGGGGATCGTGAATTTTTAAGCATTCTTCCTTCGTTATGCATCTTCGAGACACGTGTGAGTATCTGAAAAATTGAATGTTCATTTTTAAGAATGATGATGATTGTTGATGGAAAAAATTTCTTCCTTGGATATAAGGTATTCTGGGTAATGAACCGAATATGATATTTTCAGTATTCAGCGATGATTATGTTTAGAGAATGAAAAAGGCTTTTTTAGCGGAAAATTCCGAAAAAAAAATTTCGGAGGCTGCGCGTCATGACAAGAAATAATGTTCGTCATTCGGCCGAAATAGTAATTTTCTAGTTCATATGATTGCATCGCAACATCTCGGAAAAATACTATTTTGTAGCAAAAAAAAGTCTTACGAAAACAAAAAAATCCTCAAAACTATTCGGTCCCGGATTGATTTCATAATTAAAAAGTTTAAAGAATCCAACATATTATATTTTACTATTTCAATAAATTCATTTTGTTTAAACCATTAATTAATTAATTAATGATTTTGGCATTTCCGTGAATTTTCCAATGGGACTATTGAAATAATCTGTGTATAAATGTTACACTAACTTTTCTGAATGTCTTTAAGAATTTCAATAGCTAATTAAAATGATTGAAAGAAAAAAATCATGTTACATCCGCTACATCGTTTATATTAAGAAGCCATTGTCGTCCCAAAAGCAATCACTATAAAATAACAATAAAACGTCATTGAGAAAATCCGTATAATCATCGCGATCCCAAAATCGCGATCTCAAAATCGGCATAGATTCCAATAAACCTTAACTCAAAGTATTTATTAAAATTGATCTCCAACATTTACGATTATTCGATCTCCCAATAAATACGTCTTATCGCAGAATGCGAGAACCTTAAGAGGTAGATATAAAAGAGTTATTAAAGTTTATCAGAACCCCTTTAAACCACATAATTCATTCTCATAAGTACCTTTTACGACTTGAAAAATGAATAAGTTAATGGAGAAGGTTATCCAACTGACATTCAAATCCTACGTCAAGGAAATTTTTTGGCTGTTGGTTACATACGTTTCCGTTGAATAGCCATTCCTTTCCCCATTGTAATAAATTGGGTTGTTGAAGGTTTTTTCTTATATTAAATAAAAAATGATTAAATACGTTTCGTTCTATTTTGACAAACCATGAAAAATGAGGGAATTACAGAAAACTGAAAACACATACGCACTATCGCCTCATTATGAAGAATTTCTAATTCTCTATAACTTATAAGTTTTCACAATTATTGAAAAATGTCTATGGTTTAAAATTACGAGATCTTTTTATAAATGATTTATAAACAATCTATTTTCTATCCCCCCATACTATGCTAATGTTTTTCTCTACGCCCTAGATAGAGAAGTAATAGTTATCATAGATGAATCCCTAAATTCTTCTAACCTAAAAGTCTAAACTCTAACTATTAATTATTACTTAAGCTATAAATATATCGAGTTGAACACACAAAAAATATCAACTTTTGTAACTCCCCTAAATCTAATCTCATGTATTGTACTTGTTTAAGGGAATAAGTATGTAAGGAATTATCATTTGTGTAAATTCATACAAAATCATTGTATTATTACTGCAGAATAAACCGTAAGGTTTAAATGCTTGCAATAATAATAGTATATTTCAGTACATGTGGGACAATATCGTCTTTAACGTGTGTGGGGTTTACAGCATGAGCCGAAGGCGAGTGATGTAACCACACACGTTAAGGACGAAATTTCCCAACAAGTACTGAACAAAATTTTATGTCACGAAGCCTGAAACCGGCTGAATTAGACACGAAACGCGAAGCGTCGAGTATGTAATCCAGCCGGTTTCAGGCATGAGTGGCATAAAAATCTATTTTTACCCTAAAAATAGTTCCTTAAAGATCATAAGAAAATTTTGTCAAAAATCAATCCTATGCTGATTTTATCAAATGTTTCTCCCGCAATTAATTGATAAATTTTTTAGGAAGGCAAATTTTTCATATTTTTTCTACGGATACCAACTTGCTCCAGAGAGAATATCATGAAGCTGTAGCGTTTATAATGGAAGATGAAGGTAGCGATGAGGGTGATAAAACACCTCAGTGTATTCGTAGAAGGAGCGCTCAGAATATGCACCCGTAAAGGATTAATCGTTAGAAAAGTGAGCTTCATACACTGAGAAAGAAAATTCTAATACCTATAAAAATAAATAAATAAATTTACTTGAGACCAGTAATTTGTTAGCACGTAAAAAACTTTTTTCTTTCTAAAAAAAAAACAATTGTACATATGATTGTATGACTTTCACACCCTTAACCCTAGATTGGTCACCCTAATTACAACTCACTGGTTAGCCGGAAAAATTAAAAAAATGTGTCTTTGTGAATTGAAATGTCTAAAAAATTATAGTAGTTTTTAGAATAACATATTTCCCGAAATTCCTAAAGAAAACCAATTATTTCGGACAGATGAATTATTTTTTCCCCATGTTAAGTGTAATCGCCCATGACGCGAGGTTGCCAAACACTCGCTAAACTCACTCACTCGGGCAGTGTAGAGTGAATTCGGCAACTCTAAAGTCTCAATAACGGCGGGGAATCCCCGCGGCGGTAACCAATCGCAGAGTCGTGTTTGGGGATCAGACTGGGGTTAAAAATTCTCTAAATTGAATCTCTCACTAGCGAGTATTCCACTAGTTTTAACTTCACGTTTTTTCTCCAACATGAAATTAAATCAGTAGCGAAGTGGTAAAACAGTTTAAGTCGACTTATCTCCCATCTGAGTTTTTGAGAAATATTTCCGAATCTAAGAGAGGTAGCAAAATTTCCGTAATTACATTTGTTGTAGCAATCAACCGGCTCTACAAAAAAGGTTATAACAAAAATTTTGCTATCTCCCTTAGATTCCGAGATATTCAATGAAAACTGATCAACAGTCAAAATTGACTTGTACCGTTTTACCACTTCGCTCCTGAAATAAATGGGTGGATTGATTCATTTAATTAATACAGCTGATGTTGGATCTATCTGTTCTGGGTATTGAGTAACATCAGATCAATAATGTGAATGGATATTAATAGACGGACGTATTTTTCTTTCAAATCTGTATTTAGATTTGTGGAATAAAACCGTTCTGATGAGGAATGCAGTTAGCATTCTAAACGTTTTCGTCCAGAATGAAAAAAGATTTTCATTGAAATTTAATCTAATTATAATTTGTTGTGATTGCCTAATGGCTTAGAGAAAGAGTTTTGTGTACAACACAAGCTGTTGGAATTAAGTGCCTCTTCGACGAAAGAAAAATTGTTTGTCAAAAAATGGACAAACATTATCAACCAGACATCATTTGTGTACAGTGGAATAAAATTTGGAATACTTACAAATGCTTGGGACACGCTTCCACACATTTCCCATTCAGAGTAAAATTCTTGCAAACGTAGCAATCATATTCAGTAGGGCCGGTGCAGTCAGCGAGGCACTGTGCATGGCACTTCGGTTTTTCTGTTCTCTGGCAGACACTGGTCGACCAGCAATGGCCACCGGGGCACCCAGAGCAGCCTGGAATTTGCAAGTAAAGCAAAAAAAAAAGAAAAAATTAAATACGGAAAAATGTAAACAGCAAGTTATGACCGAGCCGACAAACGGTAGCCCAGCGGGACTCCTTTAACATTTTCTCAGAGCAAGTTTCTGTGTTTATCACGCCGAATGATAAGAGAATATGCGCCTCGCTGAATTTTCTCGAGCTCAATCTGTAGAGGAACTAAAACGCGTGTTTACTTACCCTTGAGCAATGCGTGTGTATCAATTTAAATGCTAATGCTCATGTTATATAGGGGCTTTTGAAACTCCTGATGTAAACGAGTGTGGAAAATAATCTTTTGGCCTGTAAATTTTTATTTTGCGGGAAGGGAGATATTCATCTGCGGAGAGAAATTGGCTTAAAACGAGTGAACTGAGTTATTGGTACACTGATAGAATGATTCATTTATTCCAAACGAGATTCGTTAACTATTAACGAATGGTAGAGTTGACTATGGCCAAATGGATATTCGTTGATAGTTAACGAATGGTTCACTTGAATGGCGAAAGTCAAGTCAAACAAGGCTCCTCAAATATACATTCGTTAACTATTAACGAATGAACATTTGGTGAGACCGAATAGCCCCTAACCTCCAACCAAAATCCATTCATTAACAATAATTAATCCGTTCTATCAGTGTATATACATATGGTTGGTGAAAATGGGTTGAACTGCACAGCAAAAACGAATGTCTGAATTTCACATACCTTTTGTAGACGTTTTTCAGACCCTAAAAAACGTCTGAATAAAATGACAATTTGTCTGAATTTCAAATATAAATTAAGACATTTAGGCACCTGTTGGTCTGAAATTCATAACAATTTTCATTTTATCCAAATGTTTTTTAGTGTGAAAAATGTCTACAAAAGTAGTGTGAAATTCAGACATTCATTTTTGCTGTGTGAATGTGGCCCATTGGAGCTGCACTAAGAGCTGCCCGATTCGTCGATTCCATGTAGAAAATTACTCTTTTTCACTCTTTTATGGTAAAAAATTTAAGAACCGTTCGATCGATATCGACCAAAATCTAATCGGGACTAAGTCACTTGAGGACTCACCAATCGGAGATATACATATTTACACGCAGACACGGAGACAAGCATGTTTCTAGAAATGACTGAAAATGATTCTAGAGATCTTGAAATGTCGACATTTGATAAAAAATTCATTTTCGAGGAGATATTTTAAGTTTAGATCTCCGTCGGTGGGGCGAAAATCGTTTGAAACTAGTGAATTGGGTTGTTGGTCGCTCGCTGCGCTCGCTCTCACGGCGGGTGGATTAGTATATACATATTGTTGTCCATAGTGTGTTGAAGTAAGTGTGACCCATTTTGGGGCCGCGCCAAGAGCACGATTCGTCCACTCCATGTAGAATCACTTTTTTTTTCACTCTACTATCGTAAAAAATTGAAGAACCGGTTCGATCGATATCGTCCAAAATCTAATCGGGACTAAGTCACGTGAGAACTGACCAATCGTGGCATCGAGTCATTTTCGATTAAGGGTAGTTCGAGAAATCGATTCTCGAGGTGATATTTCAAGTTTAGATATTCATCTGTGAATATCTGAATCGATTTCCGAGGTGATTACCACAACTTTCCTTATCGGAAGCTGCATATCATCAACAGAAAATTCAAAAATAAATTTGATTTAGGAAAGAAAAATCATGAAAGTCCAAATGACATCGATAATTTAATAATCATATTTTTAGGTCGCAGGAAAATCGAGAATTCCGTAGCTTACTTGACTTTTTAATCAAATTATGAATGTTCACTACCAAATTACGCTAAATTATCAATTAATTTATAGATCAATAATATGTTTATCTGCATTTTCCTGATTTCTATGAAATTTTATGCAATAATTGAACTGAAATTTACACTTCCCATTGACTGTTTCATCCCGTGGATGTTTAAAATGTTACCTTACTAATTGAATTCATATTGTTCATGGCTTTGTGAAGAAAATGTCAAAAGACTCGTTAATGATACGATTCATCAACTGGAAATTTTCAATTGTAGATTCAATGACTGACGAAGAATATAACTTCCCGAACGTTTGGCATTCCAACACTCATTTTTCTATCTTGCAATATTTATAAAACAGCAGATGATATTATTGAGCTGTTCGCCATTACCTTCATTCTTTATAAAAAAACTTCCAATAACCCATGTCTCCTAAAATATTCCAGTAAATCGTTTTCGTGGAACTTTAATTTTATTGTTTTTTAGGTACAACTTACTTGGGCATGAGATTTTATTCGCATTATCCTTGATGAAATTGGTGCCAGCAACGACAATTTTCGACCAGTCCACCGTGTCCGCAAAACAGAGAGACGGATTTTTTTCCAATCTCACAGCACCCCTAGCTATTTTCGTCAGCTTCGTTAAACCAAGCTGAAAAACAAAGAACAAAAAAACCTCAGTTAATTGTTCGAATGAGGTAAAGGTGTTCATCACTGTTTTTGTTATTGCGCCAGAATCATAACAGATGTATGGACGGCATGAATAAAGAGAAGACAATGCTGAGGATAATTTAATTCTCTTAAATAATTAACGACAGTTGACCCGTTGAGATGACGGGTCGAGACCAGACGGTTTCGTTGAAAAGACACGAAATGCGTTGATTTTGCGTGGGAATGGTAGATTGATAAAGGGAGGAGACAATGGAGAGCCATATAGGTACGTCATTGATCGTACGTGATGGGACTCAAGATCGATCAATCGTAGCTGTACAATAAGTCCAGTGAAAATGTTACAATAGACGTGAAAAAGAGAAAAAGTAATGAAGAAAATTGGGTGAATTCGTTGTAAAGTGTAAAAATGTCGCGTACCGTGCGACACATTCATAGAATTCTCGAATTTTCAACAGCCATTATTGCTATAAAGATAAATCGTGACGACTCAATTTTTTCTGTTAACCTACGGTTCATTAATGTCAGCAGTACACACGAAAGGCCTTGGATCAAAAAGCTCCATTCGTCACCAGGCATTTATGAAGAGATTTAAATTTCATTGACAGCTTGATAGTAATTTTCAGTGGAACGACGATAAATTCAATCAAAGAACAAGGAAATCATTGAATTTGTGTTTTGAAAGTCCTTAATTCATCTGAATTTTCCATTAAGTTCAAATTTAAGGATGACATATACCCGGATTTGTCTGATTTCTATAGATTTTCATAGAATGATTGAACTCAAATTTACAGTTTTTGTTTTTGCTTCCGAATGAAAGCATTGTAATCGTCCAATTTTGACATTCTCTAATTTTGATTGGAAATGATGTAGAATGGTCTGAAACGTGAAAATACGACGTTTGGTGCCCATGTCTGTATGCGAGCTTGTCAGAATCGTTTTCCGCAGATATCTTCAAAACCTGCAGACCGATTTCGATTGTTTTGTTTTCAAAATATTCGATTCGATGCCTTCTATCTAAATCAATCAAAACGTATACACCCATTCATACAAAGTTTTGATGATATTCCCATTCATGTTTTTCCATAAAAACCTTGTGCGAAAATCGAGATATCAACTTGAAATTTGGACAGAAAATATGCATACCCCTTCATTCGAAGTATTTGAAACATTGGAATTTTTATGACACCCATGGAGGTGGCAGTAAATATCTGAAATTTTTGCTGCTAGTTAGTGTTGTAAAACTATAAACTTTCGTAATATTTCAGATCAGAAGTAAATAAGACAGAAAAAAAATAAGACATCACTCAGTGACATGCTCACTGTCATACGCTTCTTGTCCCCTGCTGTTTTTTTCATCAGATGATGAATTTAGAGTTAACATTACACATTGTTCATGAACGATTTACGAAAAAATGTACAAAAATTCGTTAACGAGATGATTCATTAACGGCAATTGATGCAACGATGCAATTGTACACGGGGAGAAATATTCTGTAAAAATTACGGAACAATTCACGTAATCCGCAATGGGTAATCGTTTTCCGGCAATTTTTATAGGAGTGGAAGAGAAAAAAATCTAAAACATTCAGTGAATTTTCAGGTTCATCATCGAACAAAATACGAAATTGTCACGTAATTTTTCCCGAAGAAGTAAAATCTTACAGAAACTTGCCGACTTATTATGCCTCCAAAATCAAAAATTCTTGAACGTTCAACAATTTTTATGAAACTGGTGAGTTATTTCTACGTTCCGTTTCATAAAATTTCTCAATCGTTGGGGAAAAATTACGGAACGACTTGATGTCCCCACAGCGGTGAGTCATCAGACGGGTGGTTAATTTTTACGAAACAAATCGTAGAATTTACGTGGCGATTCGTACAATTTCAGTTCCGACTCACACTTTTTATTGAATTTTACTTCGCTCGCGGATTACGTTTCGAAACGTAATTTTTATGTTTTTTTCTGGTAATTTATATTGAATTTTTCTCTCCGTGTAGGCCAAATGAATGACAATGATTATAATTACCTCCTGAACATTTGGCATTTCATACACCATGAGCGAATAATCAGCTAGCAGTTTATCCCCTCGAATAATAGCCAAGTTCGGAAAGAGGTGTCCAATATTCTTGATACTCCCCACACGATAGAGCAACAAGTATCCCGTGATTTCACGCAGTAGTTCAAACGGCTTAATCGACTTACTCGGCTCAACATGCTCCATAAGAACAATTTGTAAAAATCCTTCGATCACACGACACGGTCTCAGCATCTCCAAATGCTCTATGTAATTCCGAATATCGATACTGTGACAGATTCCATCCCCAATCGTGATGTTCTTCAGGGGCCGTTCTTTATCACGATGAGGATCATGATGATTCGAGGTGGTGTTTGGGGAGATCGTTGTGTTTGGGTGATCACTCACGCTCAAGAGGTTTCCATCCTTTGGGCTAAAACGTGAAGGATGAATAATTAGCTCTTACATAAAGAAAAAACCTAGTTCCAGAAATTTCGTGGATCATACAGTCGAGCACTAAAGTTCATGAACAGCCTGAACTTGCATTCTATGTATTCTGTTTACGAACTTTAGTGCTCAAACAGCCTGAGCTTGCACTCTATGTATTCTGTTTACGAACTTCAGTGCTCGACTGTACAGTGAGAAAAAAAATATTTTTGCCAAATACCCATTTACTTGAGAGAAGTATTCACTTTTTCAATATCGTATTTCTCCAGTACGAGCCTAATTAGGCTTCAATCATGGAAATTATATTACTCTAGAAAAGGATCATGTCGGTTATGACTTTGAGTGAACTCTCTCAATAATTACAAGCATTAAAAAATTAATCGACATTCTTCCCTGTAGAAAATAAGAAATTTAGAAAAAAAGAATAAAAATTGGAGGAGTTGATCCATGGTCATGTGCAACATAGTCATGCTCTAGAGCAACATGATTGTCATAATTGGAACCTAATTAGGTTCGCCAGAGAATGACTCGATTTGAGAAATACCATTTAAAAAAAATAAATACTTCTGTCAAGTAAATGAATATTTGGCAAAAATAATTTTTTTCGCAGTGTACTAAAAAAAAATACTTTTGGTCAGTAGAAAAAGTACTTCTACCCAGTACCAAATTGTTTCTGGGAAAAAGGCAAATTTTGTACTTCGTTGAAGGCACAAAGGAACTGGATGCAAGTATCATGCGTGAGAAGTACCTCGGTACTTGTCACAAGTACTTTTATTGCTCGAGACAAATTGAAAAAGTACTTGTACTGAGCACCTGGCTGGTTCCTTTCAAAAGTACGAACAGAACTCAAGATAAATAGCAATAGTACTCAAACCTAATACTCAATTTTTTTCAGGAATTCATTCAAGATTACAAATGAAGATCTAAATGTTGGAGCACAAGTGAACACACAGAAAAATCTGAAGGTAAAATACGTTCTTGAAATGGTAATTCACGTTTTCAAAAACGTAATTCACGATTTTCATGAACGGGTAAATTACGTTTTTGAAATCGTAATTTACGGTCAGAATAACGTGCATTACGATTCTCAAAATTGGAAATCAATTCGGTTTGGAAAGCATCCACAAAAATCACAATCTACTGAGTTTTTTCTGCAAAATATCTTTTTCTGTACTGCTTCTCACGATTTCTCGTCTGGGAATTGGTATTGCATACTTCCCAAACTCGAAAACTTGAAAATCACTACAAAAAAATCTTGTCCCGGACTGCTGCGATGGGATTTTTTACTCGTGTGACGTTGGCGTTCGAGCCGAAGGCGAGGACTGGCCAACCACACGAGTAAAAAACCCCATCGCAGCAGCCCGGAAAAATACTATTCCTGACTACTTCTATTTACAAAAATTCGTAATAAAGCTGGTTTAATTCGCTTTCTTTTTCTTAGCGTATCTCTGGAGCTGGTAGTTTTTCAGGAAAATGTCACGAGATGTTTTTTCTGTAGTTCATTATAAAAAATTGTCTATGTACTTTACATCCATAGATAGTTATCACAAATGTAAATTGAAGAAAAGTGGAAAACTGTTCAGTCACTCTTTGGATGCCTCTAAAACTCGAATGTTCACATAAATATGTCAGAAATATTTTGTAGTCCATTAAATTTTCCTCATAAAAATTCACTACGAAAGTTGTCCATCCACCTGGCATTCGAACACAGTTATCAAGGACATAAATTCAATTAGAGTTGCATTCCATCTTATCACTGTTTTAAAGAATAAAACGAAAGTAAATGTTCAAGTAGGTGATCAAAGAGAGCATCGTAAACGTTGATGGGCAAAAAATCCCTCTGAATGCAGCAATTTATTTCTCTGAATGGACCGCCAAAATCTGACCAAATCTGACACCAAATGATAAATTGCAAGCACCACAAAATCCATTGAATATCCAAAGAAGTTCGTCTACACATATAGTCAGGCATCGGGACATTCACCTCAAATAGAAAAATGTCAAGGAGCTTTTTTCGTAGTTCCCAAAATTCTCTACAAAAAAATCACCTGAAATACATTTTCAACTCTTTCCCTTCCCGACATCCGCAACTCAATACTTCACTCTCAAAAAAATTTCCCCATTCCACCACATTCAACTACACAAATATTTATTCCACAGGAATGACCGAAGAAAGTCACCGAAACGTGAGGCATATTATAAAAAATACAGAGGAAAGTTGGAGAGAGTCAACTTCAAAGCCAACAAAATTAAATCAAATCACTGAGCAAGTGTTAAAACGCAGCAAGTTGATTTCCCACACCTCAATAAATACTGAATTATCTGCATAATAACTGATTCAGCAAAATAATGTCAAGCCTTTTCTCCGCGAAACCCCACGTACCACCGAGCAAAACTATTCAAACCAACTTATTACGTTTCAGCAATAAATACTCTCCACAAAAGTTGAAAATCTAAAAAAAAAAAATTAGATTAATGATAATTACCTGGTGTAGTTGATAGCTCGATTATTCCTCATGCCAAGATCCCTGTCGTCGTCCTTACCCCCAATATAATCCGGCTCATACTTTCCCTTGTCCGTTTTATTCCTTATCTTCCCCACCCCCTTGCCCCCTTTTTTCTCAAGACCCCTTGTCACCTGTCCCCCACCAGGTGTAACGATAACCATAAAAATGATGATAAACCCTATCCCAAGACCCATCGCCACCGTCAGCTTCCGTGTCCTCATCTTCTCGCTTCATGGACACTATTTTCACTGATTTATTCCCAACGCCAGGCAGTAACGTCGTGGGATTATTGGGCCGGTGACGCGGGCAACCAGTCCCTACCACCGAGTCGTTATTTATTTTCTTTATTTCACTCCTCAGTATTTAAACTCACTCCTCTCTGTCCTCCACTTAAATCCAATCGTAATGTGCTTGCAATGATCACAATCGTTCACGTCGCATCAATTATTATTTCTCCACAGTTTCTATCCTTTATCATTTTTCATTCCCCCCCCCCCCCCC